AATTATTTTATTATGATATCAAAGAAATAAATGGATAACTTTAATAAGCATTTTCATACAAAAAATTTTGTCACACGAAATTTAATTAGTCTCAATTTTTCAAAAGGCCCAACCAAATTTCTAATCTAACTGATAAGTTTTGAAACTATAAAACTTATCGGTTGGATATCTTGTTTTAGTAGATTAAAGGCGTTCAATTTCTATTATAAATCTGTACTGTGATGACCTGTAATTTAAAGTTAGCGTTCTAACTCGAATTTGTAAAGATGAAAATAAGTTGTGTGGATCTAACATTTTTAGCTTAGAGTTACTTGAGACAAAATCGCACAAAATACTATAAAATGACCAAAGGAAATGGATTTCTGATCAAATGAATTTGTTATATCTTATAAAGTCTCGAATATGATGAATAACGGTTACGAATTTCAAAACATGTCGACTCCATGTCTAAAAAGTTTATTCCTTATTAAATATATACACTGTATATTATAGGTAATGTAAGACGGCTCTTGTTCAATGTCTAAAATTCAATTTTTTTTTTTAGTCACGCACCCAAACTTAACTATAATTATCCATAGTATATAATTTAGCGTCTGCCAAAAAAAAAATAAACTGTATATATTCTTAAATATTTTTTACTTATAATTATTTAATATTAATGAACGCGTCTTAGATATTCGTGTGTGTGTGTGTGTGTGTGTGTGTCTTGGTTGTCTTTCCTTTACACTGTTTTTTTGGCAAAATTTGTACTCTGTAACGTAAGAAGATGGCTTTTCTGAGGTCAGATACTTTATCCATTAGGCAAAAAATTGTAATATATGCGGAAGCTCGCGGAAAAATTTCACGTTGACCGCCAGTTCCGCAAAGCGAATAATGTTTTTTGTTGAAGCACATAACATTATTGTTGAAGACGGACATATTCAGATTAAACAAGCAAAAGTCAACCGAACTTTATTCTTTCGACATATTACCAGAGACTTATTTATATTCAATATTTTCAATAAAGTGCCATATTTTCTCATGATGATACAGTCAGAGCAATCGATACTTT